AAATTTCGATAACTTCACGTAAAATAACGCCATTTTGACGTTACCGAAACTGACACCAACACCGTGCGCAACGTCTATGTAATTTACGTTATCAGTAGAAAACATACATGGTACATATCTTGCAAATAAGATGTCGGATCGATACGGAACCATGCAGGAAACGTTATTGGTTTTCTCTCAAGAGCATCTTAACATCACCGAACTTCCGATTTAGATCTGATGTAGAAAGCGCCATCAGATAACGTAAATTACATGTTACCTTTAACAACTTTCAAATATTTCTTTATTGATTCGTCAAAAAAGCATTTTTTGCCTGAATTTTAATTGTTTTTAAAAACAATGTGTTCTTCTTTTTATTTGAAGCAATAGTTCACGCCTAAATCTCTGTTCACTGGTGACACTGAAGCAAAACTTTCATAACGTAAATTACAGTAATGATAACATAAATTAAATATACTTTAAATGCCTTTCTCTGTAATTATACTTCGTTTAACAGAGACGGTTAAGTCAAAAGAAGAAATTTAAAAAGCATATAGGGAGTAAAAGAAGATAAAATAGGGAGAGACTTAACTAGAAAAATAAAAGAAAAAATAAATTTGACAGCAGATCTTACGTTATCATTATATCTAACTGTGAATCTCTCAAAAAGATGAACAATAATCAGTATTTTTGGCATTTTATGGGTGTATGAAAATACTGTATGTCATTTAGATGGGTGGAAAAAGAATTCAAGAAAATGTTAATTTTAGGTTTGAATAGCAATGAAATTGTAATTTACGTTATCAATATATTTCTTTAGCAGAAATGAAATAGAATTTTCACAATTTCTTACCAAAGTAAATTTTAAAATCCTTTTCTCTTCAGGATTCAAAATCATAAAATTAAGTCGCACAGAAATTCAGTTTAAAAAATTTTTAGTGATAAAGAACAGAATTATTCCAGTTTAAAATTAAGATTAAAGCAAACAACATTTGTTAATTACAAATTAAGAGAAAAACACTGGTGCAAAAACAAAATTGTTGATATATTTTTTTAGTACAGACATAGTTCTAAAAAACATAGATAAAATTTAATATTCATTTTGGCAATAAAAAGACTTTTAGAAGGGGTCAAATCGACCTAAGACAATAACGTAAATTACAAAGGAAAATACCCTACCTATATAACTTATTGAATATTTTTGTTATATCGTGCATGGTTGAGTTTTGATTTAAAAAAAAAAATAATTCTCCAATGTTTTGTTTGCTTTAAAACACCGACTTTTCCCCAAAATAATGACTTTATTTTTTTCATAAAAGTCAGACTGCATGTGGACGGAGTATGTGAGAATAGGTGTCAAGTGTGATATTATTTTGATCCGCCACATGTCATTGTAGTTCTAAACCAAATAAAATGCGATCTGCGCATGCTTAGTACCTAGCGGAATGGTCTTAGTCCTGGGCCCAGTCTTGCGCCGCTTTCTGAAACGCGATTTAGGCCCGTCTAAATTTTGGCGTAACTTTTTTAGTCGGACTAAATCTTTAGTCGCCCAAATCTTCGACTTTTTGAGAAACGAGCCCCTAATGTGTACACCATCTGTACTTAGGAATGATAAGTCCTTCCAGAAACCATGGTGATGATGAAACGAGATATTGTCAAGAGAGGAGGCCCAGTTCTGTAGACAGCAATTAGCCTCAACGACCCGGGAGTTGTAATCGCCCCTCTTGTTGCGCCGCAGAATTTGGCCGATAACGATATGCCGCACTCCACATCCCAGAACCAAGTAATTTACATAACTCTGGATTTCCCTCAGCAAGGCGTTTACATCTAGATGGGTATTATCTAGGTCATTTCCTCCAATCTGTAGAAAAACGATCTGGGGAGGCGGATCAAATGACGTAAATTTGGGTCCGTGAACCATGCGATCGACAGTCAAACCTCCTTCACTAAGAAACTCTACATCAAATAAATGCCTATAAAGTCTCAAATTGTCATTCTCAGGGTTACGAGCAATAAAATTCTGCAACCGCCGAATAAAGGAATGTCCTATAATCGCTACGCGAATGGGAGCCGATAGAGTTAATCTACTTTCGTTTTCACCACACCGACAACAACACAGGAAGATGTCCACAGAAGAATTAAGGAATCACTGTCTAGTTAGTATAGTATGCCAGGGCATCAACAATAGTGGGAAACATGGAATAATTTGCATAACGGGCGAAGCCCGTTATGCAGAAATTATCCCATGTTTCCCACTATTGTTGATGTCCCTGGCATACTATACTGTCAGTGATTCCTTATATTTCCATTTCATTGTGAAATAAATTTGTAGATTTACATAGATTTAAATTACACGAGGATTCCCATTCCAATTTCAATAGTCCTCGCCCACTGACATCAAACACAACGGCAGCCGCACGAAATTCTCATGCATATTTGGCCTCCTTAGCGTCAGACTCAGAGACAGATACGCACGAGATTTGCATGCATACGAGGCCTCCTTAGCTCCGGACCTAATCGACCTGCCTAATTTACATTCCGGCAGAATTATCAGGAAATCAACTTCGCTTACTTTCAAAGGGTTATCATAGAGAAAAAAATTTAGAAATGGAAATATTACGAAATAAAATCGTCAATTAATATTACCTCTCACAGGAATTTTAAAGTCGCTTAATCCAAAACAGGCACATATTATCTTACGCAATGAAAGTTCGTCATTACATAGAAAATATATAAAAATAAATTATGAGATTGATTTAATAGCTTATTACAACAATCCCTACAAGGAAAAACTTGATCAAAAACCTTACTGACAAACAGAAGTTCCTGACAGGAAGTTAAGATCTGTTGTGAAGTCACCTTTGAAAAAAATAAATTTATCGGTTTTATCTTATTATGAAGTTAATTCAAACCCAAGTATTTTTTTTTTCAATAGTAGAAGAAATAGAAGCAATAATATATCTTTTAAAAATTAAGGAATTAATTGAATATAATCCAGAGTAATTTTTATATTAATAATAAAGGAAAATCAGATAATCATTTTAAAGGAAGTTTAGTAACGCAGGCTAATATATTGTCCGTGTACAGGTATAAGTACTTTTTGTGAAAAAAATGCTCGGGTTTGTTCTTCATGAGATATACATTCAAGCGATAAATTTAATTTTATAAGGTGATTTCACGCGATATCAACATAGGATTATTTATTGTGTGACCTAACAAAAATTATTTTTTTAACTTTTGAATTTTGATATCCTTTAAAAGAAAAAGACGTTGGGGATATAATTTGACAATAGTTGAAACAATTTATGGACAATTATTTTTCAAGAAGAAAAACGAATATATTTTTTCGCAATTAGAATCGGACCAAGCAGCTTTAAATTCTCGAGTAATCCAAAAAAAATTTCCCCATATGTTTGGCCATCTTGTCTTTACAAAAGCAGTAGATATAATGATGCTGGTTCTCTTATCTCAAAAGGATAAAATTACCGGGGGGGTCCCCATGGGTTTACAGATAAAAAGACACAAAGTGGGAAATACAAATTGACATATAATACATGAAACTTAACTTAAAATAATTTTACTAGCATAAAATATCATTTACTATATATACTTCATAATGATATAGAGGAATAATTATTTTTGGTGTCATAAAAAGCCTGGATTTTTTTCTGCTTGAAAAGTGAAAAAAAAACGGATGAAATCTTCACGTAAAATATATTTTTGAATTGTAATCTAGTCGGTTTTTGTTTCATTAAGAGCTCAGTCTTTCATTTGTCTGTTTCTTTTTGTTTCTATTTATTGTTTATTATTGTTCATTACGAGAGCTGTTCAATAAATAATATCCTCGGTGCTCAGAAAGAAGCAAACGACGCTTTTCAATGATTTAGTCTTCATGATTTTACTTATTAATCTCTTTTAATTCAAACACATGTCCGTAACATATTTTATCCAATTTCTGATTGTTTTTAGAACTCATTTTTGGGTATGACTCTGAGTATACTGGAAAATGGCAGATCCAGTTATTTTCTGGACTTGTTTTTTCCTCTGAAAGGTGTTTTTTTCAAGTTTGGAAATAGAAACAAGTAAAAAGGTCAAAGATCTGGCGAATATTGTTAAAGTGAAAAACATTAACTTTCTGTTTATCCCGAAAACCCCTTTACTTTTCCGGGCTTGCGGGTTTGGACGCTGTCATGAAGAAATTTAATGTAGTGAATTCCTGATTCTAGGTCCTTCCTCTAATAAACCTTTCGATTTGTTTGCAAAAAAATTGCTTTCTAGACTCCTTCAGATATTAAACTGTCTCCCCGAATATGAATTTGAACAACAATACCACTATACCAATAACAAACAAACGTGGATAACTACAATTACTGATATTTTAATATAATTGATAAAACATTCGTTCGCGTTGTCTTTTCACTCATTTTTCAAAATAAAGGGTGACCTTTGAGTACCAAGCTTTTTTTTACTGTCAAACGTTTCTCAAACGCAGTGTTAATTACTCCCGATATGATGTCTATCAAATTTGCTATTTGTCTTAAAGTCAATCATACATACTCAAATATTATTTGTTGAAATTTTGCAAACAGTACATAAGTTGTTATAATTTTTGTTGGCAAGGAGGGTACCCATTGTTGATGCCGATTATATAATTTTTTATCATTGAAATCCACCAGCTCATTCGTCTATAGAACAGGCATTGGTTGCTGTAAATGACACATATTTCAGTGCATATTTTTTGGGGATTTTTAACAAGTTTTACAGCAGCTTTAATGTAGCCTTTATTTTCACTTTAGTTTACTGATTCTTATCCATTCATTTATAATGCAGTGTCTCGAAAAGCCCTTGTTTCGCAGCTTCTCACGATGAAACTACGTGATGAAAAGTGGTCACATAAATTGTTATAAATTCAGTAAAGATTCAATAATGAGAGAAAGTCAAGTTTAATGTCATATGATATCTGTTTTGTATGTCATACAGTTCAGGACATTATTTATTGAACAGCCCTCGTATTTATGTAGATAAAATCAACAAAACCATTGGCGACATAAAGGATGACGTCACACAATCTCAGTACGACCAGATGAAGCTGTCCTCTACTGTGTCGTCTCTGGAGGTGTTCCGAATGAATGTTACCGGAAATAAATGCGGTAGATTGTATTTTTTTTTCTCAAAAATATATCTTTGTAACTAGAAAAGAATTAACCTTATCGACAGGAAAAAGCTAAAAATGACTGTCAAATGAACATGATGAACTAAATGTAAATACATTTGTAATAATATGTTATAATTTTTCTGTTCATTCTTAATGTTAAAGTGGATAATTTTTAATATAACTTTATTACGTCGTTACGATTTTGTTCTATTACACTAGGTAAAATAACATTCACACAACCCTTAACTTGTAGACTTGTCTCGGAGGGTAGCTTTTACTGCTGGAGTGACGTCTAATAGCGGCTCCTGGAGCAGTGGCACCTTGGTGTACGATAAAGTCATCAACAACGTGGGAGGAGGATATAACCCAAACACCGGAATCTTCACCGCACCAGTAGAGGGAGATTATGTGTTCTACGTCAGTATCCAAAGTTACAATACCGAAAATATATATGTAGATATTGTGTTAAATGGATCTAGTAAGGTCAGAGCAGCGGCCTACACCCATAGCTCAAACGAATATCGTGATGTGGGTACAAACCTTGTAACATTACGACTACAGAAGGGAGACACGGTATGGGTAAAACATCACAGTGGTACAGGTTATCTGACAAGCAGTGACGCACCTCGCACCACGTTCTCTGGATTTCTTATTTGAATTATGACCATTGACTCTTTATAATATGGAAATTAATGTAGCGGAGTTTTTTTTGTTCTTGTTATTCAATTAAATAATTTACATCATTTGTTTTAAACACGTTTAATCATTGGATTCAATCAAATGGACTAAATCATAACTAATCATTTGATTGTATACAAAGTATAAACTGCAGAATGAAATTATTTAAGTGAATAAAATGGTAGTATACTATTAGATTTCAAATTGTATTTTTGAAAAGAATACTAATTTTTCTATAAGATAATTCATAAAATATAAGGTAAGATTATTGCAAACAGAAACAGGAATGTTTGACTGACAATAGAACCGGGGGGGGGGGGGGGTTAATTTGAATTCAACCACTACCATCTTATACGTATACACGAAAATAAATATGTAAATTTGTTATATTAATCATCACAGCCTCTAAATTTTCATTTACATTTTGTGTTTGTAGCCATTCTCATGTAATGTAGATTCAAGGTTGGTCAAGTCATGACTCACTGGTGCTAGGCTTGGGCAACAAAGGAGATCAAACTCTAACAAGTTAGTTTAATCAAAATATTAAAAGAACTGAAAGCCGTGCTTTGCTTTAATGTTAGTACATATTTATTATGTCGCCCCGAACGAAGTCGGGGACGACATATTGCGATTGCACGAATGTTTTTGTTCTACGGGCTGTTTCTCGAAGATGGCTGGGACAATATTCATGAAAATTTCCTCAAAGGATGTTCACTGGTTGTAGTTGTGTTGTGTGGTCATTCAGATTCAAAATGGCTACCGTTGCCATGGGAACCTGCAAAAAGCGACGAATTTTGTCTGCAAGTGTTCTCTCTGGTCACTTGAACATTCCTCAGGAAACTTTTTTCATTTTATTGATTAGTAAATGTAATTGTGCGATTCGCATTTAAAATTTCAAGTAATCGATTATTGCCATGGAAACCAGGGGAAAGTGAAAATTCTTTAACTTTGATTTTTAAATCAAAGTACTGAAAGGACTAATACGAATTGATGGTTTTCCAAACTTAGCTAATGGATATTGTTAAAGAGATACAAAACAAGAAAGTCTTGTCCGAAATTATCAATAGTGGCCATGGAAATAGCTGAACAGTTCGGGGCAACATACGCAATTGCATGCAATAGTAGACTCTCTAGGTTTTTTTTTCCTTTTGGTCACTGACTTTTAACAGGTAAAGTTTGTGTGATTATGATTTAAAACAGTATCCGATATACCAGTAATTAAAATGAACAGTCCAGACCCCTAGATATGTTATGATTTTAAAATTTAAAAATGATATTTCCAAGAAATTTTGGCATATTTTTTATTCAGTAAGCACTTTTTTTCTCATAATTTAAAAATTCAGTCTTGGAATCCTGCAGTAGTTAATATAATGCACATGTGTATTTTATAGACATTCTTTTAGTTTCAAACAAAGTTACAGTACTTTTATCAAAATTATGATTTTAATTGATATAATAAATTGTGCAGTGCATTTATCTATGTTTAAATACATTTATGAATTATAATTGATACTATCAGTGTGTAAAGCGACGGACAATAATATCTCAATAACAAACTTGTTTACAAAATCTGAGCGATTGGATACAGTAACAGAGCGTCTTCCTTTGACGGACAATTAGTTTTTATGATTTGTTGTTCTCGAATATTGACACTTCCAATCAGACTTTGTGCAAAGCCGCATCCATCTAATTAACTGAAGAATGTGCAAGATACACAATGTTAATGTAAATAGTGGACATTGCCGTGTCCTGTAAGGAGACTGGAGACAGGACTTCAGTGAGGGGCAGTCTATATCAATATTAATAAAGTGACACTCTAACTCACTAATTGATGTTCCCAAATATGTGATCCTTATGATGCAGCTTCTTGTACAAAAGATGTGCGCACTGAGTAAAAATAACTTTTAACATCTTAGCTCTTAGAGTAACTATGAGGGCTTTTTATTATCTTACCTCCGAGACAAACTTTGAGAGCCTTTACGAACTTAGCTCTGAGACCTATGTGATCCAATGACTATGTGAGCTTTCACCATCTTGGCCCAGAGATCTTTGTAGCTGAAAGTTTTATGTACCATTGTTTTTAAAGTGACTTTACAATAAAGCTTTAAACTTACAAAAGTCTTCTTAATTAAAACACATCGGCTATTTGTGTTATAATCGCCAACTACATGTAGAAACACTGATGCATGTACATTATCAAGTGACTCCACGCATGTTAATTTTGAAAATTCTAATACTATTAATTTGCTAAAAATCAAAACAGAATATAACTACTATCATAACATCGACGAAAATGATATGAAACACGAAACTCTTCCACAATTTCAACATATCACATATCGGAACGCCCGCGCGCGCTATTGAAAATAGTTCGCTTACAATATGCATTCAGCAGCGTTTGTGCACAAATTTTTATATCACGATTATTCCAATAAAGCAAATTTCAAATTTCTCTTTCAGTTTAACTTACAAGCAAAATATTAATCATGAAATTTTTCCAACGATTTGGGTGTCAAAATGTTTGTTTGAATATCGCCTCGCAATTAAACTATTTTGTTTATCTGAAGTGTCTGCTTTGATGCTGATTGTTTGGTTTTTTTACTGTGCTATTTATAGTAAGACAGGCGATCATGATGCCTTGAGCCAGGACTTTGCTTTAAGCAAAGCCCGGCTAAAAACCTTTTCCAGAACAACCATGATAAGATGGATAAGTATTATGGATATTGAAAATTCCTCAGATAAGATAGTACAAATACAGATTTATTTTTCTACTTCTGCCTATCCTGCCCCTTCCTGGGTTAGGCTGGCGACACAATGATGGATAAAAATTTTACAAAGGATTATGTACTAGTAGAAAATCTTTAAAAATCATCTTCTCAAGAACTGCAAAGCATAATAAGTCATTTTGAGACGGGTTTTGAAAAATGAAATTTGTACAAATCATGAACTCGGGAGGAATTATAGTTTGGCCACAATGGGGTTTCAAAGAGTATAAGAATAAATTCTTTTAAAAATGTTCTCAAGAGAAACAAAGGGATTTCATTTTTATTTTTATGAATGATCAATTTTGGGTGCCTTCCAATTAAAAGATGAAACACGATTATAATTCTTTTCAAAATAATTTGTAATATCAAAGAAATACCGATTTCACTTGCTCATCAATATACCATTAAGCGTTTTGTTTCTGTCGACCAGATTGAAAAAAAATATGTAGGTTTAGTTTTCTGTACATTACCAGAAAATTTCCAGTCAGCATAATGTGTGTAAATAAAATTATACTTTCTTTGTAATACATAAGGAAAATCGGATTCAAATATCATGTTATCTGCATATATCATTAATAAAGAAGTATGAAGCTGAATATGTATGCAATTACACATTTTAAGAGAATTCTTTTTAATCATGCAGATATAAAAAGAATTAAAAACAATATGACTGTGTTTGTAAAACACTGATGCCCCCGTATGGCAACATAGCAAAGATTCAACTTTTCCTAAATGCACATTTAATATATTGGTACCAAAAGTAGGGTATTCTCACTTGAAAAAACAATTGTGAAATATGAAAGAAGGTCATGGTTTAAGTTTTACCATAAGTACGGAAATCTTCCAATGAAAGGTGTTCCCACAGAAAATACACATGTAAAGCATGGAAGTCCTAGCCCTAACCGTTCAGAAGTTTGGCCAAGGTTAAAAATGTTAAAAATTATGTCAAACTCCAAGGTCAAGTTCAAAGGTCACAAGATTTAATATGTTAAGTATGAAAGTATAAACCCTAACCTTTTAAAAGTAATATTCAAGGTTTACTTTTTAAAAGAAGGTCAAACTCTAAGGTCAAGGTCAATAGATCAAGGTTCATGGTATCAAATTAAGGGTTTTCTCACAAGGATTATAAAAGTGAAGTATGAGTTGACTAGCCTCTAGCCTTCAAAAGGTATAGCAAAAATTAAAGTTTGAACATAAGTACAAAAATATCCAAGGTTAAAAGGTTAAGGTATTTGCTATCCATTGAAATGTCTTTCCATATAAAATACATCTGTAGAGATGGAAGCCAAAGCCTAAACAGTACAGAAGATATGATCAAGGTTAAGTTTTTTTTAAGTAGTTCAAACTCCAATTGCAAGGTAATTGTCAAAGGGTCAATGTTCTTGTTATCAAATGAAAGATCTAATATTAAATTGAATATATAATGTAAGAAAAAACTAGCTTAAACCTTTTAAAAGTTATGGTAGAAGTTTCCTTTTTGAAAAAAAGTCAAACTCCAAGGTCAAGGTCAAAAGATCAAAGTTCTTGGTACCCAATAAAGTGACTTCTCAAAAGGATTACATATATGAAGAATGAAAGCCCTAGCCCTTACTGTTCATAAGTTATGGCCAAGGTTACAGTTTTTTTTTTCAAATGCGGAAATCTATAAGGTCAAGGTCTAAAGGTCAAGGTTGTTGGAATCATATGAAAGGTATTTTAACAAAAAATACATATGTAAAGAATAAATGCCCTGGTTTTTACTGTTCAAAAGATATGGCCAAAGTAAAAGTTTGGAATGTTTGTGAAAAAGTGGGTCAAACTCCAAGGTCAAGGTCAAAGGATCAAATTGCTTGGTACCCAGAAAAAGGTCTTATCACAAGGAATTCACATGTGAAATATGAAAATGATAGCTCCACTAAATCAAAAGTTATGGGCAAGGTTAAAGCTTTTGCGGACAACCAGACAAACAACTAGACAGACAGACAGACAGCTAGACAGACAGGGAGGCAAAGAGACAAACAGACGGACGAACACAACAAAAATTATATTCCCCCCGAAACTTCGCTTACGGGGTCATTATATTACCAATCATAGTTGTAATGCTGTGAGAGAGATTTAGAAGAACAAGTCAATGGAAGAAGGATATGGAGATAACGAACAGTATTCAACATCAATGTCCATAAAACAATACAAAATAGGAGCAGAGCAAACACAGATCTCTGAAACATCAGAGGTGGGATCAGGTGCCATGGAGGA